CCCATGTGGCTGCTCCAAACACACCAGGAGCTGGGCACTAACGACACCCGCTCAGCGGCCTCCGTCCACTCCTGCCTCTCCCGAACCTTCACCTCAGGCAGCAAGCGCCTCAGGACCAAGGCCTAGTTGCTGCAGCCACAGCTGTCCCAAAGTGGTTGGCAGCCTTTGGCTGCACATGGTGGCAATGCCCTGGGCAGAAGGAACTCAAGCTGCAGGAAAGACCAAGGACGTGGGGCAACCTTGCAGCCTGCCCTCACAGCTGTTGTTGGTTGAAAACCACTACCGGCTGCCTCTTGTTAAGGTGTGGATGCGACAGGGCTGCTGGGCAGGGAAGGATGGAGTCCTGAGGTTACCTTTTGCCCTGGACTTGGGGCCGCTTTCCCTGGAAGCAGCAGGACCTGGAGTGGTGGTGGAAGCTGGAGTTACTGCCTGTACCTGAGGCAGCGTTGCAGTCTCCTCCGGCCCTCTGGAGGGAGAGGAAGGTTCCCTGCTAGTGTCCTCGTTAATAGAAAGGTATGCCTTGCTTTTCTAGGAAACTTAATTTTTCCAAGTTGCATTCCCTGCCTCTGCTTGAGTTAGAACTGAGTCTGAATCCATAGTTCTCCATTTATTTAGACTAAGTTTTGAGATGGTTTTAAGGCATTCTGCTTTATATATTAATATATAGTAATATACTATAGTAATATAGTAGCATACTGAATTTCAAAAGCACTTATTTGCTGCCCAGTGATGATGGGTGAAGCATGTTAGGAGAGTTAGAAATGATTGCATTTCTATTTCTTATTCCTGTGAATAATTATGCTTAAATCTCTTTTAAAAATATGCTTTCACCTTTTGTTCCAGTTGCCAGGATTGAGATTTGCTGTTGTGTACACAAAATTTTAATTTAATCTTGGGGAATCACAGGTGTTTCCAGTTCTTCCAGAGTTTTCACATCCCCTCCCACAGCTTCCCTCTGTGCTGGTGTTTGCCTTGCGCACAGGACACCTTAGATTTTCCTGGGAAATAATTGTTATTGTTCTCCTGGACATGTAGGGTGAGATTGTGCATTATTTCCTACATCTTTTGTGACACAGATCTCTGTGTTAGAGTGCAAGCTGATTAGATCCTGCTTTGGTCCCTCAAGGGAGATGCTCTGGAGCAAAGTGTGCTGTGTGTTTGATTTGTAGATAAACTGTCTCCTTGGAATGGTTACAGAGAGCAGGTTTCTGTGTGTGACTCCTTCTGGAACGCTGCAGATTTTCTATCTGCACTTTCTATCTATTTTCTATCTATGTTTCGACTCCAGTCAGAATAATAGTCTATGATTGTACATTTGTTTCAATGTTGTTTTTTAAAATGCTGTTACAAGGGAAAAAACAATGTATTTAAAAATATCACAGTCACCCTGCTGCTGTGGTAGCATGTAGGCGTGATCTAGGTGAAGACTTTTCTTTGCTGTGCCATACAAACATCATAAGAGGCAATCCCGAGCCAAGAGCTCATGGCAGAGGGCACATGGAGAGCAAAGAACAACATAATAAGGTAAGTGTTGTACCAGCCTTGGCAATTGCAGTTCAGGATCAGCAGCAATCCCAGGTCAGCACCTGCTCAGTCTCTGGGAAGCAGATGGGAAGCAGGAGCAAATGCCTTGATTTATTGAAGGTTTGGAGACATGTGAGCCCTCCCCGAAACAGGAAGGCTAAATAATTAGAAGCTGCAGCTCTGCAGTTAAGTGAACACAAGAGCAATCAAATGTCACCCCTTTTCTCTCTTCCATACTATAATAATGTATAATAATAGCATTCTTGTTGGGTTTGGGTAAAATGGCAGTGTAATTTGCAGTTGTGTTTGGTGAGTGTGGAAGTGGACGTGTGTGCAGAGAAGTCATGTAGGTGTAATCCTGCGGTCATCAAGACAGAACAAGGTCGGTTAAGGACAGGGACGATGGCACGGCTGTCACTGCAGCGTCTGGAGTGCTTTCAGTGGTAGGTGCCTTCCAGGGCTGGTCCATCAGTTTTAGGTTTCCATCTTCGGGGGCTGTGTGGGATCAGCCGCAGCACATGTGGGTGCTGCAGTAACAAAGGGCTGCCGAGTGCAGAGCTCGGCATGCGGATTTACAGCATCTGCCGTTGTGGGGCAGCAGCAGCAAGAGAATCTCCACCTCTCCCGCTAGCAAAGGCCCGGCCTTCATGGAGGAATGTTAATCATGGTGAGTCCTTCCCTGGTCAGAGATTCTGAACAGTTGTGTCAGGAAAGATCTGCCCAAACTGCTTGATACAACTGCCTGGTGCATTTCCTAGCGCCCCTGCTGAGGGACTGTGATCCTGGGGATGAGTTGGAATGACAATGATGTTTTCTCATTCATTTTGGGTGTATCTGTCCCTGAAATGTACCCCTCCATCCATGGTACAGCTGTCTTCCCCTTCTTGGAAAAGGGTTGATCAGAGAACATGTGCGTTTTCTCTGTGAATGTTTAGGCTTGTATAATGCACCCACCAGCACTGTATCATATTTGTACTAGAGATGAAAGCAAAAGCCTCAGAAAACTAGCACCTAATACAGTTCTGCTTCTGAAATGAGTCCAGTGCTGACACGCAGATCTGATAAGCTCTCTGCTTCTCTGTCTTCCTGTTTGCTTCTCTGTGCTCTCTTATTTCTGTTACATCTTTTTCATTTGCAGTCTTCCCCTTTCTTCCTTTACCATCCAATTCTATACACTCTTACACTGAAAGTATTTTATTTCATTTTTCCCAAGCAGATAAATTTGGGTGTAGAGTTAGGTATGAACTTTCCTGCAGCTCACAGAGGTTTAAAGCAAGGCTTCTGCTCTGAACCAATCTCTTGTCTTATTTTTCACAGCATCCACTGTAAAGGCTAAAAGCCCTGACTCCAGGTGAGGGCACCACACCAGCCATCGCAGGCTTTGGGGCTCTAGAATTGAAACTGGTCTTACATCTTTAGTCCAAGTGCTGTCTGAAACAGGAAAATGATATAATAGAAAAGCTGTTCTTCAAGAATCTGAAACCAAGTCCAAATATTAATGACACATACTTGCCCTGTGAGTTAAGGAAGGATCATCATCCCATTTCACAGATGGGTGAAACCTGAAGCTTGAGGAGGGAAGGTGACCAATTTAGTCAGTGGCAGATCAAGGAATGGAGCCTATTTCACAGCCTCCTGGGCTATGCTCTAGTTCAGTGGGGTACTTAAGCATTGGCATTGTTAAGCTTACACTTAAATATTGAATTGCTTCTCTAGGCAGCAAGCAAGCCCTCCTCTGTGTTTAGTTAACAAGCAGTGAAAAATTCTTGGGGCAGACAAAATTGAAAAAGAAGAAACTGCCGGAGACTGAGCCTAATGGGAATGAAAATAACACCAGCCCCTGCAGGAATAGAGTTCTCCCTGGCACCCTGCAGCTCCTCTCCAAGGTGTCTTTGTGGGGGACCGGTTAGAGGAAAGTCTGGCCTGCAGAGACCTTCCCATCAGAGCAGATTAACTGGGAAGTGAGATCAGAGTGAATGAACTGCTGCTTCTCTAAAGAAAAGAAGAAATAAACCAACTTAATTAAACAAATAAATCATAAAAATTAAAACCTGCCCCCCCCTTCACGGAAGCAACGTTGACCCCACCGTAGCCTGCAGAGAAGCCAAAATGGTCAGACAGTTACAGACCTTTTGATCTGCTGTTTATGGCATTTATAGGCCAAGGGGAACCTTTCAGAGCACAATTGCTTTAGAAGGAACCAAAGCCAAGGACAATATTCTTTGTGGGAGACTCTCCAGCACTGATAGCTGAACACAGGCCTTGTTTGCACCCTGTCTTCTCTTGCTCCTTGAAG